AATTAAAAGGGAATATTATAGTTTCAATATGTTTAGATTGTGGGTATATGTTTAACCGTACACCAATTGTTCGGTTAAATGTCRAAAAGAGTAAAAATGCATGATTAAGATTAGGTTAGCGACCATTGGACTTGTTTTACTGTTTAATATGTTAAAGTATGTTTATAGCATGTAAATGTAGCGAATCATGAAAGTTGGATCATAAAAGTTAGTCGGGAATTACAGAATCGAATTTTATCGACAATGCAACTCCTATACTTTGGTAGTGTATAACTCACAAACCGTATATCAGAATAAGCTCGTATTTTGCAGTCAGAAAAGATCTTACTGCATACTAAAACTTTTATGAAGAGTCGAAAATCCAGTTATGACTCTAGGTGGCTCGAAACAGTGTGTTTTTGGGGTTGTTTACACTGTATTCGGGATTAATTTGCAGTTTTGTAAAATTCATATAAAATGGATGGATGATCCAAATGAGATGATTTCAAAATAAACATACTCATATGATACCAACCTACAACTTTCATTTAGACAATATAATCTGGATTGACCTCTAAGTAGGGTAAAAATGCTTAGAAATAAGAGGGGCGGAAGCGGTTGGATAGAAAGAGAATAAGACTAAGTTTTACGTTTGAGTTTTCAATTCGTATCCAGCTATCCTTCTTGAAGTCTACGTTGTTTAAGTACATTAAGACCTAAGTAATTTTATTAGAATAATTATGTTATGGTTTTTATGCTTTGTAAATAGTAATCGGTTATGCATTCGTTAGGCATGCGGACAAATCAAACTTGATCGTGAATTTACGTTTGATCGTGCTTTAATTGTCAAATTCGGTTAAGGTACGGATTTCATATCTCACTTGACACGGGGATAACCATTTGTGCAAGGCTTCCTAATCCGAATATATTGGTTCCAATTTCTCATTGTGCTCATCAATTGCTATTGAGCTTTTGTTTCCTTTCGAAATATGATGTACATTTTTATTTGGAATATGGATCATTTTGATCACTTAAATTGTTTGTTTGCTTCATTGTGAAACATTTTACTATAGACTCAATAACTGGAGCACCGATATTGAGATGTTTCCATGGTGACTAAAACGATCATGGCATCATTTTTATAGTCCTTAAAGGTGGACTTGATTATGTACCGGTCGAATAGAGGGCGTATGGATCGATCATTGGAACCGTTATCGGATAATGAATTGTGGCCATGGTTAAATTCACGGAGAGGATTGCTGTGTTGTGCTCACACCCCTTTCCTCACTTATGCCTGAATGGACTGATCATCCTTTGGGAACAATGCGTCCTCGTGATGCGGTTTGGTCCTCGGACCCTTGATATGCTTTTGGGGCATTTTAACTTTCTTTTGGATTATCACTTGGCGTTATAAATTGTTTTTGAACTTGTTATCTCATATTCATTATTTAGTTATATTATTATCCGTTCACTGAACATTAAGCTTAGCTGATATTTTCTTATCCTCGGCAGGTACATGACTTAGCAGGGATTTTGGGGTTAGAGCTACGGAGATGACAATACTGAAGATAAACCATTAAGTCATACTTTTGTTAACTTTTGATGACTAATGTAGATGTACTGGTATTTTGGTACCGTATTTTGAGACACGTTATCTCTGTCTATGGTTATGTAATTATTTTTTGGTAAATTTTATTAGCTGCTCTGTTTTATATAACCTATTGTTTTTTTAAGACCACTTGTGGTATCTCCCATCTTTGACCACGCGGGACGGGGGTGTTACAGGCTATGTCCTTATCAGAAAACAACCAGGGATTTTTTTTCACAATTTGTGCAAAAGAGCAAACGGGAGGGGCTGAGATACCAAGGACTTAAGATTCGGTCCAGACCAATCAAAATTTCTTCCTCGAATACATACAGAAACACTTTTAATGCTACCCACAGCCGCATAAAATTTAGTTACCCATGAAACATTGGCCGTAGTAGGGGCACCCACCAAATTGTCCCAATAGAGTGCTAAAAGATGATGCTTTACCGTGACCAGTGCCTCGACCAACTTGGGGGTCAAATGCATGTTCCATGAGAACCTTGTTATTTTTGATACTTCATACCTTTCTTCATACGGTACTGCCTTGGGCTTCTTTCGGGTCATCACCGTTTTCTTCTTTGCCGTCTCCTTACGCTTATGAGTGGGCTTGGGTTCCATAGTATCCAACTCAGCTTCAAAATAACTATCTTCATCAACTGGCTATTTCTCTTTGTCAGGGGGTTGCAGTTCCGCATCAGAACTTGAACTCGCTTTGTTGGTCCCAGACGGATCTACAAGAGTTTATAGGTAAGAGTTTGTAAAGGGGGGGGGGTATACAAACACAATAACTTTTACTTATAAAAATTATATATTGATAAAGAAGATCAATAAAAATTCTACAGATTGTTTAAGGAAGAGATAAGATACAGAACCTATCTAAACAATCTAATATACACACAAAGTACATATAGTAATAAGAAAAGATTTGTTACAAGAAATAAGGCAAGAAGAAATGCTCTCTTCACTTGTTAAAGTAGGTCTTTCTCTTTAGACTGAGAGTAGAGAGAGAAACAACTCCTTGGTAAGTTCTTATTGAGGAAGATGATAACTAAGAGGAGTACCACTCAACTATTTATATCCATTGCATTGAATACAATTCAGAATCTACAGGGCACGTGACAAGTTTTAGGAGAAAAAATTGTCCTTTGGTACAATATACAGTCCTTTTGGCTGTATATGAGCAGTCCTCTTTCATAAAGCAGGTAAACATGTTTAGAGTCAAAGGAGTGGCTCCGTATTGTACTATACTTAGAAAGGTATTGGTTTGTTCTTTGTGTGTAAAGGAGAAGACAAAAACAATTTTGCTTGACAAGATTCATTTGATCGCTGAACACTGAAATGATGCTGAAAAGTCTCATCAGTGTTCACTGAATCTTGCGCAAACTTCACACATTTGTAGACGAGCTTGTTATTACTGAACACCACTTCAAATCACAAACTTGATAGTCTCTAATCTCTAGTTTCTGTCTTCGACATCACTGAAGGATCTGTGGTGTGATTTTTGTTTTCTTGAAGTATATTGGTCTCTGAATGATTTACAATACATGTTCAACGATCATTGAACAAACTAAAAAAAATAGCTGAAACTGAATAACATAAATAATAAACTTTGATAGATAAAAGGATCAACATCAAATCATTGAGAGAGAGGATCGACAATCTCCCCTTATTTGATGATGACAAAGCAACATAAAGAAAATTGATTAAGTTACATCAGTAAGGAAAAGGTTCTAGCTGTTTTAGGATCTATTACAGTGATACAGTTTACTTATGAAAATTTACTTAAAGTTGTAAGGGATTACAAGTTCAAGGATAAACTGACATTATAATGATAACTGAAATTGAAAGTATATTCACTGACAAGAAAGTTGTCAGTGAACGTAAGAGTACTGGAACTCATAAATATTTGTCTCTTTTACTCTATTCAGGGATCTTTTTCAGTGAAGTGATGATTTCATTGAATATTTAACAATGTAAAATATTACAAGTCTTTTGTCACTACTAGTAGACCTATTACATACAAGTTATACACTGAAATTAAAGAAAAGATAATAGAGATTACAAGACGAAAACAACGTCTAAACTAATTCATTGAAGTTGATATAGCCAGGTACATCTTCTTTGAGCTTCTTGCATCTCAACATCTCCATCTGATCTTGCGTTCCATCACCTCTTCATAAATATCATTATCTAGCCAATTCCTTAGATACTCCAAATGATCTATTAGACAGAGGTGGAACTTGGATACTCGCTAGAACCTATATTCACAATCATTGTCGATGAATATGAGGCCAAACTCAGGTTTCAAGTGCATAGTGTTGGGTATGTAGGGACCTTTCATTGGTAGTGTCAAGTTCAGCTGTGAGAGATACGACTTGTTTCGATCCTTCAGGATTTCATGTAAAGAGAATTTAGTGTCGTGTTCGTTCTTCTGGGATGGTCCATTTTCAAGATCTGAAAGGTGTTTTCTTCTAGAGAGAGACTTCTCTGGCAAAGGAGGGACTTCAGCAATCTTGGACACCTTTTTGAATAATTTGTTTAGGATGTCTTCAATCAACGGCTTATGCTTTGACTTTGATCGTTAAATAGCCTGTCGAATCTTCAGCCATTCATCGAAGCCATATTACCCGAGGTAAGAAGGGTACTCGGTGACAGCATCTTGGTTCTCTCTGAAGATGACCAAAGAAATGAGGAGTCCACCGTCCTTCATCCATTTGCTGATGGTGACGTTGAGATCCTATAGGGACTTATTCTTTTCTTGATCCTTTCATTGCACCACTTCAGGTCTCGGTCTTTCAACGTCAGCGCCTTTTGATGTTCTCGTTTAACTTGTGACAGCAGTTGGGCCTGAGCTTTGACTGGATCATTTTTCCTGAGTTTCCCTTTGTCTAGAGCTTGGACAGCTCTAGACTGTCCTTCATTTGTTGATGTTGTATGCTCAGCTCTTCTTTGGCTTTCAGGGCTTCTTCACGTTCAGCATCGGTGAGGAAGTTGAACTCACCACAACCAAAAGTACGAAGAAGGATTTTTACTCTAGTTTGGTCGAGCTGACTTCTCAGCTGAATCATCCTTTGGTCGTTAACAGCTCCAGATGTTGGAATATTAACTATCCTTTCATCTGAAGGACCACATCAGATTGTTGGTGCAGTGAGTAGAAAAGAGGAGGGTTCAGATTCTGGAGAAAAGGGAACGAATCTGGAGCATTGAGCTACCTTTGTTTGATCAATTGTCTTGAAGAGGATGGCAAGGTTCCCTTCTTCAACCACTTCTTTGTTTTTGGAGGAGAAGTGCTGGTTCCTTGAGGTTCTCCCCTCTTAGGAGGCTGGTTTCCTAAGGGAGACAACCTTCTAAGCTGGTCTTGGATGGTGAAGTCGTCATCATCGTCGTCTTCATCATCATCGTCATCTCCAAGGTCTTGTCTAGCATTAGGGATCTAATATTCTTCATCCTCATCTTCCTCTTCATCATTTTCTTCCTCATCACTAGCATCTTGCAATGTAGAGGTGGATGGAAGGTTTTCATGAGTAGTTAGAGATACTACGTCATCATCATCATCCTCAGCTTTAGCGTCACCAGTTGTGATGGAATCCTCAGCGGCAGGGATTTCATCTACATGAGGCAAAACATCAAGGGCTTCATCATCATCAGTAGTAACATCACTGTCAATTTTCTCACTTTTTTCTTTCTCCCCCTCTTTGTCATTATCAAGACATAAGATGAGATCATTAAGACTCAAGGAGATGTCTTCAACACATTGTTCTAGGTTGGAGAGAGCCTCAGCTTGCATGATATTGAACTCAGCCACCTGCTCCAATTGCTTACGGTTAGACTCAGCAAACGCAGGTTCAAGGATCGAGGCCAGTTGCAGTAGAAGCTGGAAGATTTGATGAAGCAGCTCACCATGCCTGGTGAGCTGATCCTGGACTTCTTCGGCTTGGCTGGCGAGAGCAACAACCATCTCTGTATTGGCTCAGACTTTAGATTACACTATTGTCACGAGCGGTGGCCACAGTGGTAAGAAGAAGTTTGACATCCTCAACCATGTCATAGACGTCAGTCTCCATGGTTATGGGTCCAGTTCCAGAAGGACCTGTAAAAGTAGGAAAAAGTTGAGCATAAGAAAGCTCTAAGTTTGTAGAAAAGATAAAAGGGTAGAGTAAGAGAGTACCCGAGGGGTCGTCAGTGTCATCTAAAAGAATAACACTGGTGTTTGCGTATGTGCCTTCTTGAGGAGAAGCAACAAGTATTTGAGGCACCTCAAGAGGAGCGACCTCATGTCCTATGATGAGTGCTTCACCACCAGTAGGGGCAACCATTGATGGATCATCAGGATGAGTGATAGAGACCAAGGGAAAGGAGAAGAAAGAATGGATGAAAGAAAACATGGGTGTTTAACATGGTAGTGTTGATATTCACACTTTCAATGATTTAGGTCACTAAAATGGTTGAGAGAGTGGCCATGTGTACAACAGTGTCTAAACAGATCACTGAAGAGCTTGGGAGGAGTAAAGAGAGTGCCTCGGGGGTAAGGCTATCTTCAATAGCTAAGACCTATTGAAAGGTCCCTGCTAGGGACGTGGTTTGACCCTTTGGCCTTCATTGAAGAACCATGATTGGCTTGAGATTGTGTCCTCTTAGAGGATAAGGTGGTGGTGGTCGGGATAAACTAAGGGGTTTGTCCCAGTCATAACCACCATTTAAAGAGAAGAAGAAGGCGAAGAAGCAGGAAGGGAAGAGGGTTTATTGGCAATCTCCATCATTGGAGCAAAGAGACCAATGTCTGTCGGCTTAGACTTGTGGTCTAGAATCCTAGACCTAAGCTGACAGATGGTCATATTACCTTCAGCGAGGTAGTTGTTGTTGAAGATCTTTGCAAGGATACCGCTGATGAAACAGGTGTATGGCACCACCTTCTCACGTTGGCGCTTGCTCAGCTTCAACACTAAGTCATCGAAGATCAGTTGAGTGTAGTTGACTTTCAGCTACCTGATCAATGAGATGCCTATGTCGAGGGCGATATGTGAGGCCTGGTCCTTATTGCATGTCTTCTTGCCCATGCACCGAATGAAGTGCGAGAAGAGATACTGCCATACCATCGATGTTGATACCAGATCTCTCAATATAACACAAAGATTTATGTTGTGAAAACCTAAATCTATCGTATGGATGAATAATAGTGAAGAACAACTTAAAGAATATTCAAGAGAATATGAAACTTCAAAGGATTTCACTATAATAACTTTGACGAGAAGAAAAGTTGTTAATTACAAGACATATGATAGATATTTATACTAGCAATCTATTTTAAGAGATAACTATCTAGGGAAAATATATCTATGAGATATTCTAGGAAAAGATATCTATTTGGAATCAAGAAAATTATCTCAATCTTCCTAGCGTAACAGAAATCCAGCTGTCGATGAGTCATCTCCAGCTGTCTTCTAATAAGTATGTTCAACCAAGAGTCTTTACGAATCTACTTGCTTAGATATCTCTGATTGAACTGTTGTAGAATCCTCTAAGTGTTAATAACCAGAGGGGTGATGGAGATGCATTGTTATCGCACCTATGGACCATTTATCACATCTCTGGTTTGTTTTGAACACTTAGTATCTCTTCCAGCTCTTCTTCAATCGGTCCTCTGCACTTCCATACTTGTACATTTTCATTACTTTTACATTAAGAATTATGGGGTCTAACAATCTCCCCCTAAGTAGCGAAAAATAAACAATGACTAGTCTATGAAACATGAATGAATTTTAAAGAACAAAGACTAATCTAGTAGAAACATCCTTTTTACCAAAAGTTTTCATTGTTTGAAAATTGGATGATTTCTTACAATACGAAAGTAAATAGGATAGAAAACTTACATCAATCATGGTCCCATTGTAAATTTTCCAGAAGCGCCTCATCAGTCCTCTATAACGAATGACTGTGGAGATCCCATGAATTAACTCTTGACCCTCCTTTCTTGGCACATGCTCTCTGCCCAGTCTCTCTCGTATGACTTTCTGAAACCATTCAAGTGCATCGGATGAATACTTGAAGGCCTCAGTTAGTCTGAAAAATTTCTTTGCCTTGTACTCGTTTTTGAAGACCAAGCCAAGCTCTGGTTGAGTTAAGACTGAAGTAGAGCGTGTCTAATTAAGTCCAGGAAAGTCTTCATTTGGAGTCGTGAAGGATAGTCTTTTGATGCCTAGTTCCAGAGCTATTTGGAAGTCATTCTTCCCTCTTAACTTTACAAGTGTCCCTATCGTCTCTACGATCGCTTGATTTGCCATCCCGTACCGTATCCTTTGATCATGTTGCTGAGTTGTGTGGCCATACAAGTAAATCAAGTCCCATGGATTGAGATTGATGAGATCATTGTTGTTGAAGACGCAGATCATCCCATGTGCACATTCCACAGTGTACTCGATGTCTATTTGCGAAAGTCTGCAGTTTGATGTCGCGGACCATTTTGATTCCATTGTTTGAGAAGACGACTTGTGGTGGTGATGTCATTTATCTCACGAATTTATTCCGGAACAAGTCTACTTATTCATGTGATAGGTTGGGAGGATTGAGAACAATTTGCTCATCAAGATCATGGTAGAGGTATTGATGGATGTTCTCCATCATGGCAGGTTCTCTTGGCGGTACCGGTGGACGTCTCCTTAAAGTCTCCATTTGTGCGACTATTTCCTCTACTCGATAAATAGTTGGAGGTTGCTTGAGGAGAAGAGTATATTTGCAAGCATCGATTGGGTAGGTTGGCTCATGGGTGGTTCTGTTTGGCTAAAGGGTGGTTTTGTTTGGCTTTGGGTTGGTTCTGGTGGCTTGTTTGTGGTTCTGGTTGGGGTGTAGTTTCTGGTTGAGGGTTTGTAGGTTCTGGTTGAGTGGAAATGGTTTCTAGTTGCTTTGGTGATGAGGGTGGTGTTGGTGATGGGGTAAAGGGAATGGCTGGTTTTGGTGAGGTAGATAGTGGTTGATAATAGGATGATGACGAACTCACAAAAATTGGTAAGAACTCATTGGCTGGTGGTGATGGGTTTATGGTGCCTGCAGAGGGAACCTGTACATTATGTACATCATTAGAGGGCTGAGCCTCTGGTTCCCTCACCTCATTTCCATCGGTTGGTTGGTTGGCAGGTTCTTGAGTTTGTGGTGGTGCAGTTTCCATCGGGGAGATGGATGGATTCTCCCCCTCAGGAGGACCAAGACCATGATCATTCTGGTCTGGGTCATCATATCGCAGCCTTTTAAGAGGGCGGCTAGTAGAGCATGAGGCACGACTCCTCTTCTTCTAGATCCTTAGCGAAACAAGATACTTCCTCATCTCTTCTCTCCTTCGCTCCCCTTCCATCGTAAGGAGGAGGGAGTTGGTGCGCTCTTGCTGGAGATCAAGACTCTTCTTTAGGACTTTCGTGGGCTAGGCTGCTTTGGATGCGAACTTGGCACTGATCTCGTTGAAGTTGGAGACCAATGCCTTGGTAAGGGAGCAAAGGTCAGCCCGAGTGACCACATCTTGAGGGGTGGAGGTGGAGGTTGAGGTGGGGGGATGTATGGTGATGCAAGAAATAAGGATTCGTACCTCTGCAACAAATGAGGTAAAGGCTTCATTGGGGGTGGGTGCTGCAGAGGGAGGTGGAGGGGGGCTATTTGTGGTATATTGGCTATTATGGTGGTGGGTACGGAGGCGATGGAATTGGCGATATTGGTGAATTGGGTGGTAAGGGTGGCAATGGATGCATTGGTTGTGGTGATTTGTGCTAAGAGGGCGGCTAGGGATATAGTGATGGAGTCATGTATGGTGGTCATGAGGTTGGTGTGAAAGTTGTGCTGTTGGACCATCAGATGCTGGAACGATTGTATTATGGTTGTATTGTCCCTCGATTGAGCTTCGAGGGACGCGAGGGATTGTTGAATCGATGAAAGGTCAATGGTGGTGGTGGATTCAACAATCCTCGCAATGTTGAGTTTAAGGTCATTCAAGGACCCTAAATCGAGTCAGCAAAGGCTTGGAACTCTGCCTTTGTGACCAACTCAACCATGGGGGTAACGCATACAACGATGCTATAGGTTGAGCCTCTGTTCCTGAGCCTCCTCCATCGATGCCTTTTGGAGAGGGATGCAAGGGAGGACTTTCATCTCGTCCTTGATAGCCCTCAAGAGAGGAACTATCTCGAGATATTGCAACATGTTCTTCTTCCTCATCGGATTCAAAGTCCGATGAAGAGAAGTAAATGTGTTTCCCTATTTTTAGACCAAGTATCGACGGGGAGGGTGCATGAAGGGGCGACCGCTCTGAACGATCGATAGGGATTTCAAAGTCAGAAGCAACGAATGCTTCTGTGTGTGTGGGTAGTGGTGAGCCCTAAGGAGAACGGACTCTTATTTCTTCATCACCCCTTTGTTGGGAGAGAGGTGATGGATGGTGAGGTTCCTCGGCTATGTCATTTCCAGAGACCCGATGAATGACCTCTAGATGGCTTGCTTGGGTAGGGATCGGACTGGGCGATCCTTGTTCAATATTCCTTTGGCCTTGGTCGCCAGGGATACACGATATGGTTGCCAGGGGTTGTAGTTGGGGAGATGGAACAAAAGTGAGGATAAGGCCGGGGGAGGTAGGAGGACTGTCATCATCATCAGATTCATCATCTGATAAAGTCCTCTCACCTTGTGATTTCTCGCTAGTGTCTAGGGAGGGCTCTATATGCTCTAGGGTAGCTGGCCGCGGTTGTTGGGTCAGCAGAGAGCTTTCATAAGACCTACGGGTAGCGGAGGTGTCTGGAATGACACTAAGCGTGGCCCTTAACAAGGGCTTCTCAACGGGGTAACCATCTTTGAAGATGGTGGGGCGATGACCATTCATAACATATTGTGGGGTGAATGGTGCATCGCAAGGAAACTTGTGCACTTTCATCGCGTCCTTGACAAAGAGGGCAAGGAAACGAGGAAAGAGCACCGATGTGACTG